ATCATCATCATCGTCTAGATATGCTTCAAATGTCATCAAGAAGATAAATATGAAAAACTCAATGTTTTTGGAATTTATATACAGAATGGATCTGATAAAAAGTATATTTCAGTGGTTCAAATGGAGAAAACGAATACTCAAAATAACATGTGGACACATTCTGCAACTAATGCCCACACAAATGGAAAAAAAAGAAGAAGAAAAAACCCTATTAATATTAGATGTTTAAAATGTACAACCTACAGTCATATTTGGAAATATAATAGAAATTTAAAAAATAACGTAATAAAACAGCGAGAAATTAGAACTGGGCAGTTATCACCACTTAAACGACCATACAAATACAAATACTTATTTACATTTCTTTATTTGCAGTAAATTGTATAAATAAATAAGTACATATATGATGTATTCAATGCAGTAATTCTACCTTCCTGACACACATTTACACTGTGAAAGGCAGTCAATTATTGTACCTTCTCATCCCCTTTGTCCAATTCCTCTCTTAAACCACAAAGTCAGTCAGTGCATTATGCATTCATCTGTAGCTGTTTATCAGCCACCATTAAAATACATAATTGCTCACAAAATGAGACTCCTTAAAAAAGAGTGCTAACACCTCCGTATGCCTTACTATTCCCCCTAACCAATCAGCATCACAACTCAGTTTTTAGACAATAAATTTATCAGAGTCCTTTATCACAAAGGGAAAGAATTAATAAATAAACGTACAACATTGTATACTTAATCTACAGAACAGCTACTAGTAGAAATGCACATCAAAAAAATACTTGCCCACTATTAGTAGGTGATAGCAATTGCACTTGATCTTCACAAAAAGGAAATGTCAGTGAAATGAAAACAAATGTCTCTAACAATGAACCAACTGCCTTGCATCATGTACTATTTGATTAATAAGACCTCACTGCCGGTGGCACTGTTGCACATTCTTGAGCATTTAAAGTTGTGTCAATAACTGGCCGGTAGGTAATTTTTACCTAAAAAGAAAGACATCAAATAAGCAATTCTATGTTCATATGAACCTAGATCACTAATCCAAAAAACTAAAAATTATAAAAAGAAAATTGAGGTGTCCAGGTGTAAATAATGGTGCCTAACATTTCATGTTTTGTAGGAAAATGAAATATTATTATTTACACAAAACGAGCTGCACATGCTCTGTGGAATGAGAAAATTATTATTGTCATTTGTTGTCAGTTCTTGAATACACTTGAAACATAGAATGTTTCCTCCTCTAGTCATGGACGTGAATAGTTTCGATTTCTCACAAAATGTCAGATACTGTTATTAACACCTGAATTCTTCTATGCTTTGCTTCTAGCTTAAATACCTTATCTTTCATAACCAGCACCAGAACACCAATTTAACAGACTAAGTTCAAATGATGGATACTTACATCTCCTGTTCGTTCATCAAGAGTGGTCAAAGTATGTTTCCTCCAGTGTTCATCAAAGGTTCTGGGTTTCTGTCCATCAGTTGGTTTGGAAAAGTCAAATTCATCAATACGATCCTTAAAAAAAATCAAAGCAAACAAGTTCAAAACATGGTCCATTTGTAAATATTAATTCATAAAAGAAAAGAACAAAATGAAAAAAGTAAAGGTCCTGCTTTTGGGGTTCTTTCTGAAAGATTTAAAACACTTAGTTCTCCCAAACAAAACATTTGAAAGCCAAAAGTCAATAACAGTTATTAGTAGAAATTATATCAAATATCAATGTAATTATTATTTTACCCTACATTCTGAATGTAAATATACCATATTTACCCAAATACACAAGAAAAAGAATTAACATTAAGAGAGACAATGAAATGAAGATAGTAGTTATAAAAATGATATTAATTATGAGGAAGAATAGAAACCAGTGAAACACAAAGAAAAGACAACTTTCTCATCACCAAAACAATGTTCTTGTAAATTATACAATTTGCAATCTTATTACTCCTGGATAGTAAGAATTAGGTAGTTAAAAAAAATTAAAACAATTAGGGAGACATCACATATCAAAATTAGAGTGTTGTCTTTTAGTTGACAAATACACAATCACACAATACACACTCCAGTTAACAAATACACAATGTAGCGAAAGAGAAAAAAAAAAGTGAAACAAGGAATTAAATTTCTTAACTGCTACTCAATCATCACAGACGCAGTTCAATTCGCAAATATTTGTCTTGTAAGCATGGAAAAAAGGCATCTTTTGTCAGAACCTCAGTAGTGGTTTAGCTTTACTCTCAACATTTTCACCCTGAATTGTGACTATGGATCACCGAATTGCTGGTTTCCAGAGCGAGCAACTGGACGTCTAGTTCAACTCAAGGAATAAGGGAAATGGCACTTACTTTGAAGTCTTCTCGTGCATGAGCACCTCGGGATTCCTTCCTGTTCTCAGCAGCCACAATGGTCTGAGATGCGTTGATCATCAAGTTTTGGAGTTCGAGAGTCTCCACTAGATCTGAATTCCACACCAGGCTGTTGTCTGATACCTGTTCCACACATTACCACTCACAATCAGAACAATGATAAGACACAGTAATACAAATTTTAAATGAAGTAAAATTAAATTTGAAAAGATTTCACATGAAATTGAACACTGGGTGGAATTGAACGCAATATTTGTTTTCTAACATTCTCTATTTAGAACAACATTAATTCTTAAAATTCCTAATAACTAAATTTTGAATTTGTCCATTATAACTGAAATTTAAAGCAATAAAATTTGAAACTTAATTGCTAAACATACAATGAAATGAGCAGCCAACTATGAGCACTCATCTACCAGAGAATTAATAGTTTTCAATTATAATGGCTACCTTTCCCCTTAATGTTATTTTCCATAAGTAAATAAGTCTTGAAAATGAACTACAAAAGTTAGCTAATGTGTCTTTGCCTGTCAATTTGTCAACAGGGAACTACACACATTTAAAATCTATAGTTGGATTTATTTTGATTTTCAATAGTAAAAGTCTCGTAAACTTGTGGTAAGGACCTTCAGTTTGTGAGATGGAGACTTTTAAATAGATCCATTTTGTGGATGTATTTCTTGAATGGCCCTTAGTGCCATTTCCCTATTCTTTTATTTCATTGCTTCTGAAAACCACTTAGAATGTAAACAGATTGTGTTGAAAACACAAAAAGGAACAAAATAAGTTTAAATGTGCAAAAGATGATTAAATACATGAAATAAGATTCCTACTAGAATAAAGCACATGCAACAATTCTATTAATTTTCACAGCCCCCAAAAAATTATAAAATATGCATTTTTATAGTGTTATTCTACTAGTATACCATTGATAAGTTTGTCTTCAATATTTTGACATTGTACTTATTTGTTACAAGCCAATCTACTTCCTAAACTTATCTTACTTTTATAATTAAAATATGATTAAAAATTAACAATACCTTCAAGTCTGACATCTTCTTGTATATATCACTAATCTTCTTGCACCCTTCCTGCAAAGTTTCTGCAGTTCTGAACACAGCTGCATGGGTCTGCATTGTCTTTTGCATATTCAATCTCAAAGCTGCAGTTGGGATTGAACCATTAGCGTACCTAACCCAATCAAGATTGGCTACTGAAGCTTCACCAGCATTCTGTCAAAATGAAGATATAATATAACAATTGAATTTGAATAAATTGCTCTAAAGTATGCTCAAAATTATCCATTTAGCACTACTGGAAAAACATTTACTACTGCTTATCGTAAGCTCTGACTCCCCATACTTGAACAGAAGTTCACTTAATCAGTTTTGTTGTATTTAACATTCCCTTTTAATATTATAATCACATCATCCTTTAGAGTAATTTATTTTTATTACAAAATACTTTATAAACGTTATCATATACTGCACTGCCTTCTGGGCCAGATGAGACAAAGTTCTGAAGAGCTAGAGGACCCAGAAAGGTATCCCCCCCAACCCCAAAAAAATGTGATAGAAAGGTTCCAAAGATTTTTGGCAAAAAATAGATGCAAAGATGCAGAACTTTGATAAACAACGAAAATAGCTTCACAATGAAACCCAACTTTCAGTGTTTCTGGAAAACCTTGGTATGAAGTGATGCGACCATCCAAAAATTGACTGAACAGTTAACCCACTAGCCCGCCACCTGATCGTATAGCTGTCAATTGATGTTTTGGTATCAAGAACCTACAAATGTATTTTGGTAATGCCACGTATTAGGAGACATTTTTCTAAATTTAGCATCTGGATTTATCAATTTTTTCATTGTCAGGGCCCTGTAATAAAGTTTTTCTGCTGGAAATTCGCAGTTTTTTCAGGCAACATTACATACCATTCTCTCAACTGCACAAGCGGTGGCGAGAGAGTAGAAGTGTGATAGAACATTCAAACATTCATTTTGTAAGTTATAATACAGGAAACAATTTGTGTCCTTTCAATGTAACAAAAAAATGGATCAAGACTCTACAAGCTTGGTTTTCAAGTAATGCATGATGGTAAAACGTGTTGAGGCATACTGTGTTTTGACGTTACATGTGTTCCTGATAATCCAAATAAATCATAATCTGCTTTTATGTTTTTCATCTGATGTCTTTTTGATGCTTCCTTGGAAGTAATTCCCCATACAGCAGTAATACACTTACAGACTTTTGTGTCCATAGTTTCTTACAGAAAGAAAAAATAAACAGTCCTTTTTCCATAGCACACTATATATAGAGGAGATACTCACAGAACTAATAGAGGAGATACTCACAGAACTAATAGGTCCAAACTTCTCTCCTGGTTTGTTCTCCTCAGCTATTGTCTTGGCACAGGCACGACCAAATACTACCAAATCAAGTAGAGAATTTGCTCCCAGTCTATTAGCACCATGAACTGAAGTACATGCTGATTCTCCACAAGCATACAGTCCATTAACGACTTTGTCCTTTCCATTTTGAACAGTTATAACTTGACCTTTGTAATTTGTGGGGATTCCACCCATATTGTAGTGCACTGTCGGAAGCACAGGAATTGGCTCACGAGTCACGTCTACACCAGCAAAGATCATTGCTGTCTCAGAAATACCAGGCAACCGCTGGGCCAATTGTTCAGGGGGCAAATGGTGCAACTGCAAATACACATGATCCTTCTCGGGGCCACAACCTCTGCAAACAAAAAAAATCTTATTATACATCACCTTTTTCTAATTAATAATAATTTTATTATATATTGGAGCAACACACTTGCAGCGGCTATGATGTAACAGTTAGCGTATCGGACTGTTATACCCAAGTTGGCGGGTTAAACCCAATGGAAACCGTGGATTTTTTGGGCGAAAAAAATCCTTTGTACGCCTTCCTTTGGAGGAGAAGGAAAGCCAGCTGTCGCATGTTAGTAGATTTACTGCATGTAAAAGATCCTCAAGCCTAAATAAAGCCTTAGAGCTAAATTCAAATCGCCTGTTTCGTCGCCCAAGAAATAAATGTATGCTTCACTATGCACAAGTTTTTTTGAACTCTCTTATTGCTAGTAATGGTAGGAGAAGAGGTAAGGGCAAGCTACTATTTTGTTAACAATACAGAAAATAAGATCTGCAGTTCGTTTACCGTTGCAAATAATTTTTCTATAAAGTCAGGAACAAAAATGTCTAGTTTTTCAAATGTCGCTGTCACATACATTTTTTTAATTTTATTTTTATTTATTTATTTTTCTATAACATTTACTCATCTTTCAATCATTTATAGTAAACAGGTGAGAAGGGATTCTGGAACTCAAAAAAACCTGTGCAGATTATCTTCTTCCCCATAAGACACAGTTTTTACTGTTTTTTGGACTAAATAAATCTAAATGCCAAACCTCCTTACAGTACAGTACAGTACAGTACAGTACAGTACAGTACAGTACAGTGCAGTACAGTGCAGTACAGTACAGTACAGTACAGTGCAGTGCAGTGCAGTGCAGTACAGTACAGTACAGTACAGTACAGCCACGAAAAAAGGCAACAATTCCATTCAATACTGTACAGTACAGTACATTGAATGGAATTGTTGCCATTTCGTGGCTGTACTGTGACTGTATTGTATTTATATTTATTATTTATATGAAGGATAGTTTATATCCAAAATTAGCTAAATCCAAAAAATTTATTTAATTTATGAAAACAATGTGCAAAAATGTAATGTTACTGTTTAAAGTTAAACGTTCAAATTAATGAGAATTGTTTACTGAATTATGAATTGTAACGGTACGTGACCTGACCGTGTGGAAAATGAAGTGCATGAACGTGGGTGTGTTCATAGGGGTTGACAGTAGCGACAAGGAAAGGAAAGAAACTGTACTGTCTGTACTGTAACTGTACTGTACTGTACTGTTACTGTCTGTTACTGCACAGTAATTGAATGGATTTTGCTTTTTTTCGTGGCTGTACTGCTACTGTACTGTATTATATTATATAAAGATAGTTTATATCCACAAATTAGCTAATCCAAAAAATTTATTTTAATTTATTTGAAAACAATGTGCAAAATGTAATGTACTTTTAAGTCTAGAAAACGTTCAAATTAATGAGGAATTGTTACTGAAATTATTGAATTGTAACGTTACGTACCTGACGTTGGAAATTGAAGTGCCATGAACGTGGTGTGTCATAGGGTGGCAGTTAGGACAAAGGGAAAGGAAGAAAACGAATCGCGCCAAGTCCTTGTTATGGTAACTGCTCCGGCATTCGACTGTGTTGTTGGGTGAAAATACAAAAAAAAAAAAAACTTACCGAGCAGAGCAGCCGATCTCTAGAATTCTCCATCACACAGCGTGCATTCGACCTAGCTGTCTAGCTGGCGACGAAATTTCCTGAAAACGTCAGGACTCGAACTCTAGGACCTTCCGATAACACGCACAGCAGTGACATTCAATTCATGTCCTGAGCACCTAAGGGTCTTTTGTTGGCAAATATCTCGTTCATAGCAGTTTTTATGCGTGTTTTTTATAAATTATATTCAGGAAGGGATTATAATTTCGAGAGCAGATTTTTGGTGTGCGAGGTTGCCTTTTGGTTGATGTTTTTACTTGCTGTTATTAAATACGTTATATACGGAAAGGTAATATTAGTAGTTAGGGAAAAGTTATATAATGCTGCGGGAAATACATTTAGAGATTTTCAACAGAAATTACAAGTTTTTGGTGAAACCCTGGATATCGAAAAAAGTTGGGCGTTTTTCAAAAAACGCTTCGTCCGAGTCTTAACCATTACTAATGCCTAAACCATACATATTTCTTGCTTTTCTTCTCGATCTGTCTCGACTCGATGCGCTACTTTACATGAAAAGCCCCCGGACATTATCAAAATTTTCTCAAAAACCGGCTGTATTTTTTTCTTTAAATTTCTTGTAAAAATAGAAGTAAATGTACTCGCAAAGGCTGGGGAATACGTCTTGAGTTTTAGGTTAAGACGAAATAAAAAATTGGAAAATTTTGAAAGTTTTCGGGCGGTCTTTTTAAACAACTACAAAATTAAAGATATCGATTTTTCCTTTCCAATTCAAATTTGTTGTCCATAGTGTTCTTTCAGTTTAAGATCATTTATATTTTTTTAAATTGTATTATGTTTGCGGAAAATTGCGAGCAATGTTATTGCAATATTTTAAAAAATTTACAAATTAAGTGTCCCAAAAAACGGCCGGAATATTTTTTCTTTAAACTTTTGATAGTGATAGTGATAAATGCACTATGAGATGATAAACATCAGGTACCTCCATTCTTTTGTTTTTTCAAAAATTACAAAAATGTTAAATTTTTTACTTCTCTTCATGTTAATATTTCACTAGCGGCGATTCGCAATTACTTTTTATGAGAAAATGTGGTTTAATATCAGATACAATTTCTAGAAAACTTAAACGTTTTCTCGTGAAAAACTGCCACAAATCCCGCAGTTTCAGAAAACGTTCAAAACGCCATTTCTCACAAAAAACGGCTCCAATTTTTTTCTTTCAAAATTTCTCGAACGATAATGCTAAAGCTGCACTTTTTATTTATGACATAAAATTCCTATTGGAAATTTTTCGTTTCTCAAAAAATTATTATAAGGTAATTTTTTGTAAACATCTCAAACCCCGCTAATATGCACATTTCCAAGCAATTTGTAAACACTATGTATTGTGAGTTAAGTACTTTCAATTACTTCAAACAAAGTTTTACGAAAACTCAAAAATTTTCTTGGAAAACAGCTTAAATCTAGAGAATTTATAGTAGGCCACTTAAACGCCATTTTCTTTTAAAACGGCCACCAAATTCCTTTTAAGAAAAATTGCCATTTAGAACCAGGATTTTCTGTTCTTTTATATTTCTTAAAATAATAATATCGGTTTCACATTAGGAAACCCGAAAATTTAAGAAAATTTATAAAAATAAAAATATTAATTTTTTTTAAAAAGGTACTTTGGGCGGCGATGGATGGCAGCGGCAAGAGTTAAGTGCAAGTGCGAATAGATTGCCGCACAAAGGAAATAGAAAACTAATACGGGAAAGTTCTGTGGCCATTCTGTAGCAACTAGTGTTATGAATGTGTTAAAAACAGAGTCACAAAACCGCACGCACAAATAACAGTGTTTTAGAAACTTATAATAAAGAAATGTCTAGCATTTAAGGACGGTTTTAATAAACGAGTCTGCGTGCGCGTTTTGTTAGAATCCTGAAGTGTGCATAGTTGGAGAGCATTGGAGGAGAATTTTTCAACAGAACCTGTGAATTGTAGTAATTGTTAAGGCCGACACGCATGTGCCGTCCGAGCGGACAGTTTTCCCGCGGAATCGAGGGTCCATGGCACGGGAACCCGTATCCGCCGTACATTTCAGATAAGTAGACACTTGTATAAACATTCGTCCTTCCAAACATAAAAAACTTCTTTTCATTAGAGATTTTTTCTTTTATCATACACGGCTACTATTTTTTTATTGCTTCACTCGAGATAATGAATACACGCGGACTGACAGAAGCTATCAGAAAAAACCCTGTGATAAACGGGACCGGTGGAGAGAGATACAAGGGAGATTTTGCACGGCAAAAATCACAGCAATCGACAGCAATATTGATATCAATAAAGTGGGTGGAATCGAGAAAGAGATTTGCACAATCGTTGAGGTTCGGAAATCATTGTCGAAAAGAACATTTTTGTATTTTCAGGCATTATAAACATTTCTGTTGCAAGAAATAGTTCATAATCGGGTATTGTACAGCCACAAATAAAGACGTATTTAGATTTTACGGTCGAATGACTGCGTCATCACACATTTCAGCGAATCACAGCGAGACAATCGGGAGCTGTAGATGTTAAACGGAACATTTATCACCAATTTCTCGCATAAATGTCAAATACACGAAACGTCACAAGAAAAGTTGTTTCGCAAAATTTAAATTTATTCTCTTATAAATCTATAACGCAATTATACAAAAATATAGCGTATAAATTAATTGCATAAACTACTATTTCATCGTGGTCGAAAATAAAAGACCGAACAGATGTGTGCTAAATTTCCCTAATGCCACATCAATCGTGAGCATGATTGCATAATGAATTATACATGTCGCAGTACAACATCGCCGCTCATCAATATTTTAAGATTATTGTACACTTCAAGTGCGAAAGAACAGATTTCACTAGGGAAAATATATCTTCAACAATGCTGTTGGTAAGAAGATTAAAAAAAGTACTTGGCCATTTTTCGAAAAACTCTGGTTTTAAAACAAAAGGCATACCCACTCCATTTTCTAAGTACTCTTGACGCTATTTTTGAGAAAATGTTGGAAAAATTTAGAGGCCTAGGGCAAAGTACTACCATGGAATTTAAAGATTCGTTTGAAATTCTAAGGATTTTGAATTCGGCTTAAGATCTAATTCGGGGAACATCCATTTTGGAGGAAAATCTTATTGAAAGTTTTAGGCTCTAGTGTTTGTCTACAGACTGACGGAGAGTGCTTCCCCGTAATGTTAGAGGATAACTTGGATATGTTCGCGGAATTTTGAAATATAACACTTTCGTTAATTTTTGGAAATATAATTGTTTTATATGTTTCCTATAATATTAAACGAATTTCATTCGGTTTCCAGTCGTTTATTGAGCTAATAAAAAAAGGTTCCATTCAATTCTTACAATAATTTCAATTGCCAAAA